AGCATGCTGGCTGGGGAATTGTGGGAGTTGAAGACCACAGAGCTTAGGGCTCCCAAGGTTGAGAAACACTGCTGTATACCCTAAGTTACCAACACCAGTATCTGGATTGGCACATTACACTAAACCAAAATTAAACCCCATGGGTTCGCATACCACACTAGACCATAATGTGGAATGTAAACCAGACCTGATGCCTTAACGTTGTTATAAACCAGGCCACTATCGCTTGTTCAATCATGTAAGGCTAAAGCCATGGCTTAGTGTGGTGTATCAGCCCCGACTTAGATGTCATGAAAGCTCTGAGTTGCTTTCGGGGATAGAGAGACAGCTGGAAGCGCTGAGATAAGGAATTCGGACCTTCACCAATGTGGGCTTCATACCAGTTTAACTCGTTTAGTGTCTTTCCCAAATGAATCCTGCAAGTTGTGTTTTGAGTATGCCAAGAATCTTTAGTTCCTAAGTGTGACCTCCAAACTACAATTTCCAAGATTCTCTAAGAAGGGGGATTATCATGAAAACAATGGTTGTTTGAGCAGAGATGCCCTAAGTACGTTGCAGAACGTTGAAACTAACCAAACAGGACTGCATGCTGTCCAGGCCTGCTGTGATCCCCGAGTGTGGATAGTTCCTTAAGAACACAAACAGCCCATTGTTAGTTCAAGTCCACCTCCTCGGGTGGTATTGGCCAGAATCCCATCAAGCAACCTGATGATCTGTCAAAGTATTATGGCATGTGACGTGCTTTCCCTTGCTCTGACTCTTCTGGAATCAGGAGGGGATCCTGATGAAGTAGGCTGTTGGAAAAATCAAGGGTAGGAAAGACCAGGCTGGTAGGCTTATGTCATGATCCTCCTTTGGGGAGAGGAAAACTCAGCCGTTTTCCTTCCATGATCTACGTTCTCCTACAGACCTCCTTTATCTCTCCTTTTAAGTTTATGGTATCACTCATCGCCTGGTCCCTGTTCTTCTGCCTCCCAGCCCATTCTCTTTCTTTGTTGGCCAGTCCTCTTCTTTCTCCCTCTCTTCCTGACCTCCATGTCCAAGGCCACCTCTTTCCTAAGCTGGTCATTTCCAAGCTGCACAGGGGAGTATGCTGGCTGCAGTCATCTCAGAGGGACTTCTCCAGAAAAGAGGCTGCCTGGTGTCTCTCTGAAGGATTTGCTGTTCCTCACAATTCCTTGTTGTAATCAGTATCCATCAGAGGGATGTATGTATAGTTCTGCCCAATCTCTGTCCATCCTCTTTTAGATGTCTGACTGCAGCAACATGGTTACGTCTTTGGCACAAGCTGATACGCGTGTATTTTTCAGGCCTTGTGTGGTGCTGACTCTGAAAGTAACTCTTTTCAAGTCTAATATTGAAATAGGGAGTGCTTTTAAAGAAATGCTGGTTAAAGAAGTCTTGGGAAATACTGTTCTGCACTCTTCCTGCTTGACTTGAAATTGCAGGCCAAAATCAAAGTACATTTGAGTGCCGATCAATTCAGGGGCTGAGTTCATATGTCATGGTCTGCTTAGCCATAAACCACAAATCCCATTGGTGTGGTTCACACAGCTCAATACACCTTCTTTGGCTTTGCCGTAACATATTGTGTGACCCCCAGCCACAAGGCTTTGAGCGTGTTTTATGGCTTTGCATGCTGTGTGAATCCAGCCCTTGCGACGTCTTCAACAAGCTGTGTTTAACTACATCGTGGTTTAGCATAGTGTGCACGCTCAGTCTCCACGTTCTCAGAGCGAGGCTTAGTCCAGGGCATCAACTTCACCTGTGTCAATTGCTGCCTTTGCTCTCCTAGGCTGGAGGAGGTGCCGTTGGAGGTGCTGAGGCAGAGGGAGTCGAAATGGCTGGACATGCTTAACAACTGGGACAAATGGATGGCGAAAAAACACAAAAAGGTGAGTCGCGGGAGAAATGTCGCACGGCCGTCGGCACCTTCCTCCTCCTCTCTTCACTTCTCTGCATGCTTCAGCCTTGCTCCGTATCACGTGCTTGTCCCAGGCAAGAGAACCCTGGTGATATTAGTGGGCTTGAAGAAATGGGCTTGGGAGTGTTACACGCGCTCCCAGGTTTGGGTTATGGTTGCACACTCACAGCCTGTTGAAGCACGTGGATCTCGTAATCCCCCCTTGCTTTCTACCTGGGTTTTCCAAATAGGTGCGGCTAGAGCAGACAAGACATGCAGCCCTGGTCAATGGCCGGGAAATAATTAGGGACATGTCACTTTCAACCGAAAACTGAGTCACAACAGGTTCTTTGGAATACATGGAGAGCCAGTGAATTTAGAGTAACGGCAAAACTTTTCTGGTTACAATGCACACATGCTCTTTCTCACACACGTTCATCACACTTACCCATGTCCTTCTCAACTAGGCTGCCAGGCGCTAGCTAGAGGGACAGAAGCTGCCAAGCCTGGATCCAAAGACAACTCACGGAGTGGGTGGGCTTCAGGACCCCTTTTTATCCCCCAAAGTTCTTGCTTTGTTGATTAGCTGGGATTGGGTTTCAGGCCCAACTTCCTTTGTCTGGTTCAGGTGGCATTCTTCTTCCTTTGTTTCCTTCCTGACTTGTTTCTTCTTATCTACCTCCCTGAAGGGATCTTTTAGACCAGATTCCTCTGTTTACGTGCCTGCTTCATCTTTAGTTATGGCAGCTTCACCCTGGTCTCACAGAAGAGAGTGGGCTTGCAGGTTCATGTCCTGGAAGTGCAGGTCAGAAACACTGAATTAAGTCCCACTTGCCCAATTTGGAACTCCCAGGACCTGAATTGAGCTTGTGCAGTCAGGTCTCCAGAATAAAAGGCCCCTGAGATACTATATAGATCTATGTTTCTCAAACTTGGCAACTTTAAGATGTGTGGACTTCAACTCGCAGAATTCCCCAGCCAGCAACTCTCAATTCTGAGAGTTGAAGTCCACACATCTTAAAGTTGCCAAGTTTGACAACACTGGTATAGTTGGTTTTAATACCCTTGCATCAAGTCTGTCTAAATCCCCTAAAAAGCAAACGTCCGTGTTCAGTTTATAAGCTGGTTGTACTATAAATTGCATCCTATTTTGGATTGCCTCAGCAGACTTAAATATCTGGGTTTTTTTTCCCTGTTGTCCTGGAAAGGTGGATTTCAGTTTGGGACTTGATCGTGTATCTGATTGCATCATAAACATCTGGTTTTTTTAAACGCAGTGATTCATATAGTTGAAATTCGTGTTGAAAAAAAGGCAAGCGTCCGTGTAAAATAAAAGCAATTTAAAGCCAAACAAATATCTTAGCCATTGTGGGGTGGTAGCTTAAACTGAAGTATAGACCATGAAGTTCCTCGCTTGAATCTTGCCTCCGCTGGGACCTCCCAGGTGGCTTTGAACAAAATACTTTTTCTTGTATGCCTTGATCATTGTTATTAGAAAACCCAGAGCTGGTAAGGATGAAAGTTCCCAAGAACTGCCTTATTCTATCAGGCCACCCTCGTAATATTTTGTAGCTTGAAGAAATAAAGCTCTTGGCAACAGGAACATTTCAGACTGGTGAGCTAAATATAATGCATTGCTTTGCCAAATTTAGGCATCGAAATGGTCCTTTTCAGCCGGGTGGTTCTCATACCCCCCCTGTTTTTTTTAAGAAAATGAAATAACTCCTGAAATGAATGCATTGAGGGAGTAGACAGGCTTATGGGGCATTCATTTTAAGTAAAACCCAAGCAAGACACCTGTCAGCCCTTTGAGGTAGTCCAGACAAGAAGCACCAGCCATGACTACTGACGCTACTTTTATTGTAAGGTTGCAGAATCTGGCAAATTTGAAAGCTTTTCCTCCTTCCACTGCCTTTACTTTCCAGGGGACTAAGAAGGGTCCCTTCTGAGACACTTTCTCCATCCCCATTCCTTCTGTGGGCTGCGATATCTCTTAGCAGACCATTGTCTGGGCCACGGCTCTTCCTCCTGTCTCCCAAGGTGATTATCGCAGCCCATTACAGGAGGAGAGATGGAGGGAGGGAGGGATGAGAGAGAAAGAGAAGGGAGGAAGGGAGGAAGGGAGGAAGGGAGGAAGGGAGGAAGGAAGGAAGGAAGGAAGGAAGGAAGGAAGGAAGGAAGGAAGGAAGGAGCCAGCCCTTTGAGGAAGCCAAGAAAGGAAACCCAAACCATGAGAACAAACA